AAGTCCAGTAGCTATGCTGTTTTTTTTTTTTTTGGCACACAATTTTGCTGGGAATCCTCAAAGTATTTATCACACGCCGAACATCACATTTGCTGAATCTACATGGAACATAAAAACTTCTTTTACAGTAACTAGAATTAGGACTTCTGTAACCTAATTTTTAAAAAATCATATGTATTGACAGCCAAATATAATTACTCATTTACAAAGGTATTAAGATCTAACCTTAATAAAGAGAAACATTGTTCATCACTTAAGGCAGAAAAATTCAATCTCGGTCCGTCTGGCATTAGCTGAGGGGATTTATTATGACCTATTTCGGACTCTAATATGAGGAACTCGTCAAAATTCAACAGCCCCTCATCAAGCAAGAAAAGTAGATTTTCAATACTGAAAAAGTAAGCGAAAAAAGAAATTATGAAAACATGTAGATATTCAAGATCCAAAATTATAATTCCTGTTTTACTTCAAAACTTTTTAAGTTTTGTGTATTTTTTAAATTTTGAATATACGCTAAAATTCAGAAATAATTTCTATTTTCCTCTTTCATAACTTTTTTCAAGACTTACAAAGTTAATTTGTTTAATGTTTACCTCAAATCTCCCATTCCTGAGAATTTGACGTCTGCTACAAGCACTTCCGGTGTTACGCGTAACTAAAGTAATTTTTAGCTCACGGCGAGGAAGTAAACGTGTACGTGTAGGTTACACGTACACGTTGCAAATCTCTTGTAACTAAAGGTCTTTAATACTATCCGCGTTTTACCGTGTATAATTGTTTAATCTTACTGTACTGAGAGATCCACTGTGACGTCATCTTCGGCGTCAACGACTCGTTAGACGCACAGTGTAGGGAAACAGAAGAGTGGATCAATCTATTCTATTTGAAGATATTTGCAAGAAAGATTGTATGTTTTTAGATATTTTTATACCAGTTGGTGAACTCAAACAAACTGTCAAAAACTTATACAAGTACTGTTGTTTCAAACTTGTTTTGTACATATTTTATCAGAGATTATGACGTAATTAAACTGAGTCATGTGACCAAACATTCTTCGTCCCCTTAACTGGGACATATGTGTATCCTCACCTATCATGACTTATACTTGCAATTTTTTTTTTATATAAGGCTAAGGTTTTCAGAGCATATGTCCTTCTCTGGAAAGGTTGGCCTTATTAGATGTACATGTATCTGCAATTTGCCACTTACTCAAAATTTTCATTTTCAAACTTAATTTCGCATTAATGTAAACAATAAGCACTTATACGAAGTTATATTTTGTTCTTTCACTATGTATTCTTATATGTTCATGAATCTCCAATGGGAGGAAAGAAAGAAAGAAAGAATGAATGAATATTCTACTTGGCGTCAGACCACAAGGCATAGGTTGGTTTAAAATTATGTAATCATCTACATCATTAATGGGAAAATTAATGTGAATAATTAATTTATATTGATTAAAATATTAATAGGGTAAATAACCAAATATTCATAATTGTATATACAATTTTAATTAGGTTATGATTACATAACTATTTAATGTATTTTACATTATTTTATCATTTTATGTTATTAAAATTTGGATAATTAATAATGTCACAGTGGTGGCAGCTAGAGTGCAACATTATACACTTATTTAATGAATACAAGGTAAACAGTCAAATTGTTGTCTCGAGGTAGTGGGGGAGACCTGGGAAACTGTTGCCCGAGGCCGACAGTTTCCCAGGTCTCCCCCACTACCGAGGGACAACAGGTTGACTGTTTCACCGAGTAGTCATTGAATAAGTGTTTTATTACCTAACCTACTATACTATACAATTATTGCTGTTTTTTGAGGTCAATACAATGATTTAGTCATCTGAGGAGTACAATTATATTCACCGAGCCCGAAGGGCGAGGTGAATATTGTACTTCAAAGATGGCTAAATCATTGTATTGACCGAAAAAAAACAGCAATAATTGTTTTATTATATGATTCACTGATAAAATGATCAAGCCCATTACTTGTTTGCATTTAATTAAGTCCGAGCCAAATACAAAAGAGAAGCAGAATTAAAATTTAAATAAGCCTTACCAGTCGTATCAATTTGAAGTTTTTTTTATCAATTTTAGTTGCCATGAAAAAAATATTATGTCATTTTTTTACAGGATAGATTTTGAAAGGATTGAGTATTATCAGGGAAAACTGACTGCCACTGAAAAAGTAAAAATTGTTGTTTAGTAAGTGTTGGAGGGCTGTCCCTGCATCCCCTCTTACCACCCTCACCCAAAAATAGATATTTGCTTATATTTTGTTCACATGAAAAAAAATTCATAGTCATTTAAATAGCTTTCTAAAACAATTTTGTATCATTTTGGAATTTCCCAATCTATTTCTAGATCAATGTAGAGGAAATAAATCCTTGTATTGACCTGGAACGTCACGTGCAGGTCAATACAACGTAGTATTTTTCTAACATAGTTGGATCTCAGCAAATCAGAGAGATGGAAATTATTCAGTCATATAATAAAATTAATTAAATTGGAATAAAAACACACAATCAATCAATAAAAAGTTTTAACAACTGTTTATTCACATAGTTGTCTATTAACTAGCTGAACACATAATATAAAGATTAAATTAATATTTTTAATTTTAAAGTAATACAGTACTTAATAAATTGATTATCTGTGTGTTTAATTTCAATTTTATTAATGATAGAGCAGGTAAATAGTGACGTCGTGATCATCAAAACGCTTAAATATCACGATGACGCTTTAAACAGGCAACAGTTCATTCTGTGGCCCGGTCAACAGTTCACTGTTTCATGATCACGCCAAAACATAAAATAAACAGTGAAAAGTTCAAAATGCCTAATTATAATTTATATAGTAGGTTAGGTAATAAAACTTATTGTTTCTGTGTCATGTATGAATATCTATAAGATTTAGGGCTCAGGAAGTTAAGAATGGTTAATAAACGAATGGAGAAAATTCATACTAATTGAATATATATGAAAGTATGCTATATTGGAATGATGGAATTCGAACATTGTCAATTATGGATAAATACAACTAAGGTTATCAACACAGGTGTCAGTATACTGAAAATATTCTGCCATGAAACAGGACGGGATATTTTGGAATTATACTCAACGTACATGTGTACATAGTGTTCAATGAAATATGTTCGATGATCTATTAGGTTCAATGTTTAAAAATGTCGGTGACAGGAAAGCCCTGGATGTTAAGTCGCCCTGCCTTCGGCATCGGGTGAAATAACATTCCAGGCTTTTCCTGTCACTTTGGGGCAAATAATCTGTTATGCTGCCCTCGAATTCATGTAATATATGTAACTATAATGTATGTTTTTTTTTTTGTTTTTTTGGCTTATTTAATTGTTTTATGAAGGGTTGATATGGGGTTGGTTGGGGCTGGTTTTTTGTTGTTCATATTGAATTAAATATACAAAATAATTAATCTAAATATTTGCAATATTTACGTTAAAAGAAAATAAAACGTGCAGATTAAATGACGCAAATTGTATTTTAAAGTTAATTAATGCTTTTTCCATACACAAGACTATCGGAACTTCTTCATAAAACTGAAATATAATAAAATTGCTTATTTCTTGTTCTTGATTAACTTTTACATAAAGAATTCATATCTCTAAAATTCTTTTTGGAAACGGATCGGGTTTTTAAAAAGTTCTGCATAGCTTTAATGGATCTTAACCTTACATTATATTTAAATGTACAGAATGGGAATCAAATACATAATTTCGCGGGCTTTATTGTACTTATTCCAAGTCCAAAAGTTTTACTATAGTAAGTAAAAGTTCAGGGGATCACTTAATATAAGAATATCAGGTCTTCAATTTCAAATAAACCATTAGGGTCAGCAGCTTTTCTAAAACCATTTTTATTTATCTGATCATTTTATTTTGTAAAATTGAAAAAAAAAATCAAGCTTGAAAAAATTCACTGACATTTAATTCATGCATCGTGAATTTTCCTCAGACCCTGACTGTTTTGTGTTTACAACTATGAAATTCGTTCATCGATCGCGCATTGACCTATTTAACATTCGGGAGGTCAACATTAGAAATACCGCTTTTTGATTTTTAGTAGAGTCCTAAATTTCTTCAAAACGATGCAATGTCATCGATTTACTGAGTTTAATATGAAGTGTAGTAATTAATAGTTACTAGATATATCCTTGATAACTATGTAACAAAAGAATTTTTTAGAAGTTTAATTGACAATGAAAATGATGAAATGATCTCTCAGTACTTTTATGTGTGGAATTGAAAGCACCAATGACCTTATTTGTTGTTTAACGTCACATTCGAGACTTTAAAAAAATATGGAAGCGCCACCATTTGCCGATGGAGATCTGCAATTTTTTACTCGGTACTCAGGTGCATAAAGCAGTCCCTTATCTTTTTTTCGCGCCAAAACCTACTGCGACACGGGACCTGCAATCCTCGCAAGCCAGGGACCCTGAGTCAACATGTTGCCGTTTGACCCCTGGTAAATTTCATTCAATATCTGTTGGCTGACTGTAGCGACTTCTTTTTGGAAAAATTGCAAAACTTGATTAATTTTCATATCTTTAAATTAATCATATAAAGCCATTTTATGAAAAACAACTTGTTACACGTGTATTTCAGCTGTCAGCTGAATCCTTATCTTACTATTTTTTTAAAACTTTAATTTGATTGATGCCTCTCAATAAGTGAATCAAGCCCCCAGATATTGAATGAAATATAACAGGGGTCAGACAGCAACGTGTTGATTCAGGACCCCTGGCTTGCGAGGATGGGGATACCCGTTCATACAGTCTCATGTGCAGAATCGGTCTCCACGTCCCCAGTAGGATTCGAACCCATGGCGCAATGGTTGACTCCTTTATATCGACTCTAGAGCAGAAACAATAACCATTACGCCACGCTGGCGATATACCAATTACTGAATAAAATTAAGATGCTTATTCATATAATAAAGGAAAAAATAACTTACATCTCGAGTCATTTCTATACCAAAACTTGACTGATTGGATATTGTAGATCTTCCTAAGGTCAATCCTAAGCCAGGCCTCTGTGTGTCCGACAGCTGTATGCATGCAGTATGTATAATTATTTTGTCTGAAGTCTCCATCCACTGTCTTGTTTGGATATCCATCATAATCAACAGAACTACTGCTTGCCATGGTGTATCCGGGTCTTACAAGCTGATCTTGATGAATTTTTATAAATAAAATACTTTCTCGTTTAAGTACAATTGATTACACCGTAAAATAAACGTGTATCTTTTGCATCCTTCAATGATAAATCATGGTGACAATTTTACAGTGCATTATGAGATATCTTTTAAAGGCTGAAATCAATAATTTCAATTATTTGGTAATTGATTTTAATATTTTTCTGAACCAAACATTTTCAACATGTGATTTTTACATATTTTAACGTGGACCGGTAACAAACTATATTTGATTTTACGTTACTACTATACACACTTTATATACAAAAAGAGGTGGATACAGTCTTGATATATACAGAGTCAAGCTCCAACATATTTGCTTTCTCATAGAAAATACAACGCAGTCATTAAAATAATAGCTGGAATCATGCTACGTTAAACATTTGATAATAAAATTGGCAACTTATTTATTTATATAGGGTTTAAGATTTGTTTGACTAACTACTCGATATTCACTCGTGCGCGAGTCGATGTACATTAAGTCAAACGTTTATGTCTTTCTGGAGCTGGAGAACGCAACTTGTAGATCCAGTCTTCATACAAACCATCATTTTTCTATATTTGAAATTAAAACGTACAGCTTTTCTGATTTATATAAATAATTGTTTTTTTAATGGCATATTCAAGTAATATTAACAGCCTGTCTCCGAGAAAAGCATGCAAATTAGTCCGAAAGCAGGTTTCTCCGTTTGCCTTCAATCTTTATGAGCTAAATCTACTATGCATAAAATGAAATCAGACAAATTTTTACTGAGCTAATCAAACCCACATACGTTTTATGGCCTGTTACTAAAATTAGCTCTTATGCAAGAAAATTTGAGGTATTTTTTTTAACAATGTAGACATATTTGAAGAGAGAAAAAAATTGCAGCTTTAAAAATTATTCAAATATTCTGTTTGTAGTAAAAGAATAAAGGTTAGTTCTTTTTAAATACATAGTCAGAGTGATTGACATTCATTTTGTTTTAGTGCAAATAGGTCATGAAATTGGCAATGTTCCAAACTTTGGGGAAAGTGACAATTTTTAGTGGAATTGAAACTATTCTAGTTAAAAGGGGGGATGTTTTAACCCAGTAAATTATAATGCTTATTGTTAAGAATACCTATGTTAACAAAATATGAAAAAATTACCCTTGGCCAATGTACACTTTAGAAAATATTGAAAGTCAAAGTTTGTGTAATTTTCACATAAATAATTTTAAGGATACAGTTAGCGCTACTCAAAAAATAGCTCAAAACATGTCCAAAACGAAAAAAAAGTTATTTTCTAGAGTTCTTCCTAACTGTATTACAGAATTTATACAAACATAGCTCTCAATTTCATACTTAATGACTTTAAATTTTAAAAAATACATGGAAAAAGAGGCCGGGGGGGGGGGAGGGACTGGCTATGAATTCTTTATAAACCTCTAAATGGATAAACATAAGTATAAACCTTTATTATTCAATTATAGCCTTTTGATGAGGTCAATCCCTTGATATATAAACCTTAAAGAAAGCATATCGACCGAGCACGAAGTGCGAGGTCAATATGCTTTCTCTAAGGTATATATATCGAGGGATTATATGGAATCATAAGGCTACAATTGTTTTATTATTTTTTATTAGTTAATAAGAAATGTCTTAAAATCCTTCTTTATAATACCCAGTAACTTCTCATACAAAGCATTGTTACATGTATGTCATTGTATTATGACATCACAGTAATGAAAACCAGCTGCAGTATCTGTTTTTAGAAACATCCAGTCTATAAAGACTATTGTGACGTCAGCACTATTGTTGTTTCCTGAAGAATGTTTTCAAATTTAGAAACAGCAGATTTATAAATTTTTAAAATAGAAACATCCAGCCTGAAACACTTTTTATACTTGATCATGTGATCCATGCAGTTTGAGCCAATCAAATAGTTGGAACAGTAAAAAAAATAATAACACTTTTTATACTTGATCATCTGATCCAGTTAGAGCCAATCAGATAGTTGGAACAATAAAGAAAATAATAATTACTTTTAATGCATGTATACATACATTGTACTTGGTCAATATTTACACAAGTGAACCAAGTGAACACATTATTCATCATACTAGTCATTTGATCAACATATTCATTTGAGTGTTAAAGTACAAACAATTTCTGCAAATTTTCAACATCATCTATAATACAAACATATAGATATTTCAGACAAGTTTTTTTTACTGGGGGAAGGTGAAATGACTTGAAAATTTTTTTTGATGAATGTGACACAATACGTCCTCCTTTTTTGGAGCTACTTAGCTATTTATTTTCTTTATAAAATTTCATCATTTGCACTCATTACTTTCTTCTTCTGCCATAAAACACAATCAGGACAATTTACTGCTCTCTAACAATCTTCACGTATCATAGACAAGTAATTGTTCACTTTCTGGGAGAATCATTTTCTGGATTTTGAAGCCAAACCAATTCATTTTCCTGTTGGCTCTTATTGAACTCCACCAATGCCTGTTCCTGATAGGAATTTGTATCAGTAAATTGTGAAACTCTCTAATGCTTTGAGCATTTTAGTAGGATACAAATTTGCTGTGATGTTCTTACTTGATCTTGAATTTGTAAAATAAGTGAGATTTACAACTGCCAAATATTTTTCAAATCTCAAAATTGAAAATTCTTTTTGGTCTGATGAGTATTAACAGGAGTTATACATGTATTGATGATTACTACTCTCTTTGCTTGCTGCAGTGTTTCGACAACTTTCACATCTGGTATCATCTTTCACTTGATCAGTCAGATCATGGTTTTATTGAAATGGCTTTTCAGTTCTGCTCCATTTTTCCTGCTTTCTTGGAGAAAACTGCATAACCTATGAAACAAAATGTACCATGAAATGAAAAGAAATATGTCCCCCTTCTTTGTGTATATTTCAGTAAAATATGATGACAGAAAGAATAATTTTTTGTACATGCATAAGTAACTGCTAAATGGAGGAAAATGAAAGTTTGATCTTTGGAAAGGTCTAAGTAAGAAAATAATAACAAAATGATTGCTGTCATCAACACTGATTTTAAGAATATAAAGTTTATAATTAAAACAAGAGGCCCATGGACCATTTCACTCACCTGAGCACCGTGGCTAGCATAAAAGCAGAAATTAGTTTATTATTGAAAAGTTTAAACCCAAAAGTAGTCCCAATCATTCCTAAAAGGCGAGAAGGTATGATTTGCACAAACTTGAATCAACACTACCCGAGAATGCTTCCACATAAAAACATGTATATATTTTCATTAATTCCTTTCACCCAAGGATGCTTTGTGGGAAGTTTGGTTGAAATTGGCCTAGCAGTTCTTGAGAAGAAGTCAAAAATGTGAAAAGTTTACAGACAGATAGATGGACAGACAGACAGTAGACGGACAGACAGACAAACGGCGGACAAAATGTGATCAGGAAAGCTCACTTGAGCTAAAAACCTCTCCTATACATTTCTATGTAAAACTTTGGTTGGCCATTGTGGCCCCGTCCTAGGGTAAATCATTCACATTTACATTAACATGAATAGCTCTATTAAAGAGCATTTGACTATTATAATAATTGTTTTTTTTTTTCATATATGAGACTTCTAAACAATTCTTACCATTTACATCTGGATCAGGACACTTGTCTTTTAATGTATTGGGGTCCAAAAAAATCTTCTGCATGTTGACAAATGTTGCTACAAGAAGTGAAAGTTAATAGTAAATTATTTATAACTTTACCCAGGTTTGTCATACAATTTGAATAATTTGGACCTCTCCAACATATGGTATACTAATTAAATATCATATTGTGCATGTTTAAATGTTCTGTATATAAACTTTCTGTTTAATATGAGTTCATATTATCATGACCCATTACCTTTCTAAAATATCAGTTTTGCAAAAATGTGTATTTATTTTGAATACATTAATTGTTAAAGTAAATATGATAGAAAAATATGTGTGATAGTATTTGGATAAAAAACCTTTCCTTCTTTGAATACCTGGTACTTTTATATATACTCTTTCGTTAAGACTTATTTTGAGTAGCAAACTATTCCACTACTTGCACAATAGTCAATACCACGATTCAAAAGCATAAATTACATGTATGCGAATCAAAGCATATGTGCAGTTGAATGTTGAATATTTTTTAATCAGAGAAGTTACAATTTTTACTCCATCATGATCTCTTAACAACTGTTTGAACTTTCTTAATTTCTTTACAAAAGTATACATGTATGACATATCAAACAATAAACACGACTGTTCCTAGTTAGAACATTTTCATTCATTATTTAAATTTCTATTACAATTTCTATATAGATCACTGTAGGTACTGAAATAGGAGCTGCAACTTGGATGTCAGATTTTTTTTTATTGCAGAATTATTTCAAGAACAGAGATTTTTTTTATAATCTTCTGTTGTTCATATTTGCCGCATTGCAACGAAAGAACTTTTTATAACCTATGATTGAAGCAAGATTGCATTATCCTTGTCCTCTACAATATTGATTTCTTAAAAATTCTATATTTGCCTGTACAGAAGTCTTTCTTCTAAAACACTTTAATACTTCATTTTAGTCTTACTGAGCATACAGGTTTTAATTTAAATACAAATCTAACATTATAACACATTATATAATTTTTATGGCAAAATAAAATTCTTTAAAATGCAGCTCATATTGCTTGAAGTAGAGGTCAGATATTTGGCCTACCTGTCAGCATGGTCAGATCCTTCAGTTTCTCGTCAACCTCAAGGTAGCAGAAGTTTGTTATTCTTCTTCGCCATTGTTACCATTGTACCCCCCCCCCCCCCACGTTATCCGTATGTCTTGGATAGATTCATAACTTTAAATATACCACCGTGTACATGGTCAACATGGTCAGGAGAAAAAATCCACATTTCACAATCAATCCTCCAGTCGGTCCATAACTTTTCCCCATACAACCTGATATTATAGCATCTCGGTCGGAGCTTTAACGAAGCGCAAACAGTGTGGTGGATCCTTGATACTGTCATACAAATAAAATACATACACGGCACGAAATGTATAAAAAATCTCCGAAGTTGCATTGTCCTCTTAGATCTTAGTGACCCTTTCACATTGGAATGTCATTTCCACCTTTTTCACATGAAGACTTCCACAACGGGAGATAACTCTTATGCACACTTACTCATTCTTGTCATCTTATTTTCTTTTATCATTTTTGGAGTGATTTTTACTTTTATCAACTTTTAAATTTTTACAGCCTTTCTAAATATAAATTCAGACTAAAATATTTTTATTGGTCATCAAATGAATCCATATTAATGGTATTTGATTAATTCTATGGTACAAAATGAGATCTTTGCTAACATGCTTAGGTCATCATTTTAACAATTTATAAAATATATCTGCACTAAATAGCCAAGGGTGAATTTTTTATATTTGATAGAACATAAATCAATTATTATAAAAAACTTTATTTGATCAAATTATTTTATCCCTCACCGCTGTACTACTGTACTAAATATCCATAACAATTGTGAATTTCCAAATTCGCTTAACATATGGCTTCAGTATAGACTGCAGATAGCTGTAATCATTATGGAAAATAGATATTTGTAATTTTTGACATATATGTATTTATGAAATAATAAAATACTGTATTTAAAATAATTATGCAGTGACTTTAGCAGGCCTCAAACTTTCCTATTTTTACCTTCTATATAATGCCAATTATTGCTAAATATAGAAATTGGGTTGTTACTAAAAATAGATGCATGTGACACACTTTTACAATTTATTTTTTATATCCTAATACAACCCAGATCTTAAAAATATATGACAAGATGAAAAGCTCTATACACCCTTTTGGACATTTTTTTCAGATTTTGCATGTTTTTCTCAGAGACAGGCTGTTAACTGATTAGTTAAGACTTTTTTCATGCCTTCAACTAATAAATAAATCAAAACGAACACCAAATTTAAACTGCTGAAACACCGCATATCTTATATTACAATATATTAAAACTGCCACTGTACCTTTGTCTTTTTGAATTGTTATCAATTAAAAAAAAAGAAGCGTCCAAAGGAGTACATGTTTCCCTGCTAATATATCATTCAGACGTAACACTAAGATGTGGATATTCATTTTTTAATATTTTTTCTAGTGTTATGGCACGAATCAAAATAAATATATTAACAAAATAGAATGAATGAAAGTTGTGATTATTTCATGTTTTTTCAACAATGTTCATGCTTAAGGAGACCAAGTCAAAATACCGGCAATGGGCATGTGATAACAGAACAATTTAAACTTTTTAAGATGAGGGAAGGTTGATAAAAATGACCAGAAAGGTATAAGTTACACAAATTCAACAAATTTTGGTCTGATGAAAAGAGAAAAAAGTTTACTATATATATAAAATGTTTCTTTTCAACATATAATTATTATTATTAAAAAAATAGATTTAGAAGATAGTTATCATACCTACCATAACATGAAACACGGTAAAAATTATTGATCCATGTAAAAAGTATTAGTAGAATACACACATTGAATCCCATCGTGATCAAAACCAAATGCACTGTGAAAAAGGAAGTTATCTGACATTAATATTTTCTAGAAAATCCTTTTAAAAAAATAAAATATTCCTTCCTTTCCTTGTTCTTATAAACACCGACAATTTACATGTATGACACTGTACTTCCCCACTGAACAATATTTTTCAAAGATGTATTTTATTCATGAACTACGTCAACTAACACTCCATAATACTTTTTCTACCTTTAAAATTATTTAATTCTTTTACATTTTAAGGTTTGGGGTGGGATAGGGTATTAGAAACAGGATCTGTATATTTATTACAAAATATCGAAGAAAAGACAACCAAGAAAACACTCACGTTTTATAAAATTCATTGAAATCTGCTGCTCTCAGGATTTCACGTTAATCGATTAGTTTTGAGAGTAAATGCTCTAAACACCCATAAGGCCTGAGTATGATGAAAACCACCAGAAAGTCAGGAACATATGATTTTGTGCAAATGAGCCTCTCGTGCTACGATCTCAGAATAATCAGATAACTAGTTGTAAAAAATAATTTTAATTCGGAACGAAAATTGAAAATTCTACTTTTATATTTCCCATGTGTAATAAGAAACAGATAAGAAGTCAAAATATGTAACTATCAGAATATCTTGCATACAATCAGTTTGATTTCAAATTAAAATATTAAAACTTTAAACATACTTGATAAACACAGACAATTTGGCATTGTAGATTGCAAGTTGAAAGCTGTGAAAAATATTCAAAAACAGTTCAATTTATTGCCATTTTAAAAATTTTACTCCAAATAATGAAACATGATAAAAATCCTGTCACTATAGATAAACTTTTTTTATCATTGAGTCACCAAGGGTTCAACAGTCAACTGGTGGCATATTTCACGTTCCGATTTTTCAAAAAATAACAGACATCTCCATATCGATAAAATATTCTGGAGAGGGACGTTAAACAGTATACAATCAATCAAAAAATAACAGTGTTAAAAATGTTCAAATAATATTTTCTTATTTTTATTTTGATTTCATTAATATAGTCCATGTAATTAAAATTGGAATTTAAACATGAAAAGGTACAAATGTAAAATCTTGATTTTATCGGAATCTTTATGTCTATTGTTAAGTTTTTTTCTTTTCTAGAATAAGAAACTCCTTTAAAGATATTTAACCTTCCCATACAAAAATGTGCAGTTCACCGTCATTTCGTCGTAAACTAGCAGTCAACTAATTGCCGATGTATTGCTGCATGCTTACTTTTTTTTATCAAAATTGTCTCATTAAATGTGATAATTTTGAAAATGTTTAAAGCTTGAAAGATGTTGCTTTTTACTATATGAAGAAAAGAAATTTAATTGAGCAAAGAGAGACGAAACAATTGTTCATGTCTACGACTTTTTGGGACAACTTTCGTATATTCAACAGATTAAGAAAAAAAGTAAAATTAACATTAAAATTCTTCTGCTAAATACATGTTACATAAAATGTTAATCTAACAAAAACCTAGATACATTCTACGATGAAGCAGTGCTGTCACAAAAAGGGAAACCCATTTACACTCAGAAAGAACGCACTTGAAATACTTAATAAAATGTAAAAAGTAGAAAAGATTTACATGTACTTGTTGAAGTATCATCTTAACAAACATGACTAAGAGCTGTTATATTTAGGAGTTTAGGTTTTGAAGAATTGCCAAACGCACATTTAAAGGCACTTTGTTTTTATATGTACTCTCTCTTTCTCTCTCTCTCTCTCTCTCTCTCTCTCTCTCTCTCTCTGCCTTGGATAATCCTTCATGATTCAGTTGACTTAAAGGTCTAACACAGTCAACGAATCGCAGATCCCTCAATTCCAATTACCTTTTAGTTGAAGGTGTAAGAAACTTTTACCCTATGCATATAAACTACCGTACTTATTTCCTTGTCAGAATGTAGAGCAATGGCGAATTATAGGGGATAATCAATATGTCAAAAAAATTTGCAAATCTAATAAAACTGTAACAAATGGAGACCATATATTGTTAAACGCATATATTCTTAGCGATTTACGCCTCAGTTATTAAATTTCAAAACTGACCTGTATCCCATCAGTAAAATTCAAACCAAAAACGTAATTTAACAGACATGGCAGACAAAATGTTTTTCAACTGTAAAGAATTAGGGTGAATTCACCATGCATCGGACACATACCTTGCTTCGGATAACTTTAGACAATAAATTCTCTTTCAACTTAAGAGTTCCGTGTATTTATTTGTTTCTGTCTAGAAGCTGAAGATTTAAATTTTTTATGATACCGATTGTTATTATCATGTTGTGATAAAAATACCCCGAGAATGGCCTTGAAGTTACGTCATATTTTACATCATCAAAGGGGAATAACCAGAAATTTATGATTTTGCGATTTTTAGAGTTATCGTTCTTAAAATTCGACTTAAACGGAACGAGTCAGACTTTGGTGAATAAAGTCAAAGATTAGTAATTTTACAAAAATTTTAAAGAAATTTCACTTCAAAGTTCGTGTAATTCTGTTTAGAGCTGGTTTTCACTAGTATGTTCATTTTACCGTACATCGGACACAAATTAACCATGCATCGGACACTTTCCGATGCAAAGGTAAGCACTACCATTTTCATACAGAACCCAGCTGATAACTGTTTTTTTTTTGCGGAAAAAAAAAATATATATTTTCATTCAAAATACAAGTTATCGATATATGACGTCTGGAATTTGACTCAATTTATTTCTACAAACCAGAGTATGATAAAGCATGAAAAAAGGGCGCGAATTACCGCATTATAATCATTTTAAAGCATTTCTAAGGCAAACTGAGGTCTCTTGAATCGTTCTACATTTGTGCAACGATATCGTCAATTAAATTTAAGTTGAGGGTTATTTCTTAGATAAAGGATAAAAATATATCCATATCAAGCATTTTAAAGCACTTTGATAAAGGTATGATATTTTTCCGGTCAAAATACCGTCTGTCCGATGCATGGTAAACAATGTCCGATCCATGGTGAATTTTGAGTTATCACTAAAAACTCGATTTTTGAGGCTATTTTCACAATAAAGGGCATATAATTGTGTCCCAAATTGATATTTTAATCAGAAACTAAATGTTAAACTCCATTTTGATAATTTTTCGTCGGTAGCGATATTGCTAGAACTTGTTGAAGTACAAGGGTATCCGATGCATGGTGAATTCACCCTAAACCTGATACTTATTCAGTTTTGCTATGGTCGGAGATTATTTCTGTATCTCTGTCCGTGTGTTCCTTGTCACGATCAGGAAATAACGGAAAAAATACAACATAAAGTTGGACTTGATAAAATAGTAATAAAATATCTGAAAGTAATGAACAAATGGTGTGTAACGTATGCTTATTTCTGCATAAAAAAACCATCAAACAAGATTAACAAATTGTTGAGCTATCTACGATGCAATCTTAATAGTTAAGGAGTGAGATGTAAATACAATATATGGTATGCCATTTAATATGTATAGTTTAGATCTGGAAAGTGCATTCAACCAGTCAGTTAAGAGTGTAGTTACTTTTTGTGATATTAAAGCAAATCCAGTGACTATTCCCGCTTAAAGACGATAATTTTTTAACCTAAGAATTGCTAACTGGATGCGATCTTTTAATGAAATTATGAGGTCACTATATGATAACAGGAGGACGACCCAATAAGAACGATAGACTTAGGGTATATCAATTCCAAATTGTCTAGTTATGTAGAGGATAACACAAAACAAGCTTTAAGGTGTGCGCAATTTTATAGTTCATTATAGCACTCACAGGTGGTGAAATATGTAAAGAAAGTATTTCTTTATAAAAATAATGAAAACAAATGCATAAGAAATAAAACCATAGAGCCGTTGCAAATAAAAATCATCATTTCTTAGAAAAAAAAAAATGTTTGTGTGTCTGTTTTGTTTTGTTAACTTGCAGCAAGGATGAGTTTAAATTAACTAGTGTATAAAAACAAATTTGTTCTCAGGAGGAATATCTTTATTTTTAATGAACTTCAATAAAGAGACTGGATTAAATAAAATAAATAAAAAACAGAATTTCATTAAGTTAACAGTTGATTAATATATTTCTCACTAATTATTTCATATACAACAAATAAAAAAAATAATTACAACATAATTTTCAATGCCTGTGCATGTAGATTACAAGTATAACATTCCATTTACAAAAAAAAAATATTAAAAGTCAGTGGGAGATGTTCCATTATATATCAAATCAATTTTGCGTCTTTTGTTGGCAAATAATTCTCTCATTAACTTAATCATTTCTCTCTGATTTGCCAGATGTTCGGAAAACGCGCATTTATCTCCAGAATATTCCGACTCACATAATCCTGAACAAGATCCGGTCATGTGATGACATGGTTTGTTTCCTTTACAATAACCACAGCGTTCTTTGCATTCTTTACTATACCAGCCATCATTACAAGCGGAAAATTAGGGCATAGATTTGAACATCATGTACATTCTAGGTATCAGAAATACTGCATTAATACAATTGCGCAGGGGATTGATAAATTACGCATTGCATATGCTGTACACAATGATGTTGACATACCTATTGATAATCTGCAATCGCTTTCATTATTTCTTCGTGTCAAAAAATAAAAATGAGTGTTTTCACAAACATGTTTAAGAAATTCCTTTCCATAAGATACAGGAAAGGATATTAATATTACATGCATGTACGTTTTTTTTGCATCTCCCCCAAGATTCAAAGGCTGATATAAAACAGGACAGTGTAACATAGCTACATGTATTCGTATAATAATTCCATTTAATATAATTTAATGTCATACACTGGAGCATATGAACAAATGGTCTGTTATATGGAAATTTATGTCAAAAAACGTTCTTTTACCTTTCAACCTCTTTCAAATCTTATTTTGCAAGCCACAATAAGTAGCAAGTATGCAAAACGTATGAAGCGTGGACTAATTGTGTTGACTCGTCTAGAGACTCACATTTCGCCTCTTGTTATTTCGTTTTGCTTATCAGCGTCTTTCTCGAGTGTAGAAAATAATGCGAATCTAGGAAATAGATATTGATCTAAACAACATCAGTAAAAATTACGATAGAATCCATGTATTTGCCAAAAAAAAAATCCAGAAGATCTGCGTTAGATGTATTCTGCAAATTTATTTGAAAAAGGCATGGTTCACAGAACTTGTTATTTCTTCAACTTTATGTTTACAATGATTTTTATGTAATATCAAATACCCCCTATTTTAGGGCATTTTTGTATGATTATTAACCTGTAGATATGGTACATGTATTCGCCAGACGTTTTTTCGTATTATTTTGACTTTGGTTTATAGATATTTTTGTTTTGTCGATAATTATCGTTGAATAATGCACTGCAAATGGCAACGTCTCCGATTACCGCACATGTCCATGTGGGGACAGAAGAATGTGCCCGAAATAAATTAAAGTTCTTAACGTATCTAGCGTGGCGTCAGCTCTAGAGTCACGTAAGGAGTTGATCTCTGTGTCGCCGTTTTGAATCACACTACTAGAAATGTTCGCTGCGGGACGTGTAGACCGGTCCTTCGGATGAGACTGTATAACCTGAGGTCATGTGCCGATGTAGTTGCTGGCACGAAAAAGATCCCTAACAGCTAAATGACCCAAATTTCTAGTAATTTCCATTTTTTACCAAAATACCAAGCATAAAGCTAATTTTACCCTATGACGTACAGTGTATCAAGCATTTATAGACCCTAAACTGATTTTACTCTATGGGATATCAACCATTTGTAGACCCTCGAGACAACTTCCCGTTTTATTTGTTGCTAATTCCTTACTGTTAAAATAAATTAGATCATATAACTTGATTGCATCTTCTTTTAAGAGTATGTTTCCATCCTGGTTCACAAAGACCGGAAGTACAAGATCCTGTAACGTGATGACAAGTAGCTTTGTTCAGACAATGTCCACAAGTACAAGTGCAATTCCTTCCTTACAAACCTTTTTTTGCAAGTAGATTAGATCTACTCTAACATATGCCAGAGCTTTTGAAAAAAAAACATGTAGTACTCAGCCCGTGATATTAAAGAAAACGTGTCCTTAATTCAAACCTTTCAATTAATGATTTAGATGACAATCTATTGATTAGATTCTGAAATTGAATGTACATGTAGTTACATGGTAAATAACATTCATGTTATCGTATGAAATACATAAAAAGTCATACACGTTTCAATATATAGTCTTATGATTGACGCTGTCCTTCCAGTAACAATTCCATCGGATTAGAAAATATTTAGCATTTTTTATGTGAAAATTTTATCCTTTATATTAAGAGTTTTCTTTTTTTAAATCATAACTAGACTAATGCATAAACGCGGGACTTAATCATTTGTTTAACTTTAATTGCCTTAAATCAGAACAGTGTTTTTACTTTCATTGCAGTAGAGATTCGTCCATCCATCTTTACAACCTCCGTGGCAGCACCCATCAACCTTGTTGCACGATACTCCCTCTGCACAGTGTCCACAATTGTGACTACAGTTTAACCTGTAGGTTCCAGCATCGCATTCTAAAGTCAAAAATGTACACTGATTTAAAGAACAGTACGTGTCAAACTAACGTATGAGAGTTATAGAAATGTTTGTTTAAAAATAATTACATCAATACCTTCATTGCATCTTTGATCAATTGTATGTTTCCATCCTGGTTCAAAGTGTCCCGAGGGACAAGAACCATTTACCTGATCACATACTGCTTGTTTAATACAGTGTCCACAGGCATAACTGCAATTTCCTCCGTAGAAACCTTTTCTGCATTCTAAAAATATTGTTCTTTTTATTTTTGTCACAAATGCATGCATCGGCCATACTGAATAACAAGGCCCCAAGACCATAAACTGAGAAAAGACTTGAGACAAAATTTCGGTTTTGAACATCTTGGGTTTTATTAATTTTATGTACTTCAATATTTGAAAGTTCCCCAATTTAAAGATATGATGAAAATTTTGATGAAGATTATTTCAAAAGTTTTATTGATTCGAAATTTTGAGTTATGTCTATTCGCAGTTTATGGTCGTGGGGCCAGTTTTCACATTACAACGCATATAATGATTATACTTTATTCTAGGACGGCATTCATATCAAGTGATAATTAGTTTGATTTTCAGCTTAATAATACTATATTTATACAATGTCTGAGATATAAAAAAAATATATCTTGCCACGCAGCACAGTTAAGATAAGAAATGGAGATATCGGCGATTTTTTTTAAAAATGCATACTTTATAAGGATGGGCGATTCTTTTTAGGACTTCAATGATATAATAAAAATATAATATGGTTTAAATTTACATGTTGGGGACATTTAGATTTTTTATTTAGACTTGTCACGTGATATCGACGTCACACGAAGTTAGCAATTATACTTGCAGTTTAGAGGTCATATATAAATTCCAATATTGCAAGGGCATAACCAAGTTAAAAATCTTAGTTTAATTTATAATCCTTTTCAACACTATATGTAGTTTGTGAAAAGTGCTGCGAACCTATATAGATTCTCTTTTTTAATTGCTAAAATTTAATTTGTTGGACTGCAGGTTGCATATTTTGCTGGTCAATTACATTAAATATAGCTATAAATAATTTATTTGCAAGATTTCTTGAGGTTCGCAGCACTTTTTTAATATATCTTAATGCATCTAGAGTTTATGTGTAAAAACCTGTCAAGATACATTGAGGGTATGCCCTTGCAATAAATCAATTTATAAGGGCCCTTCCATTACTTTTTCAACGAATCCGCATACAAACACACGACAGTATCACTTGTAAGGAGAATGTACGGAAAGTTTATAAATAAAATACTAAAATAGACATCGCATCCAAATTAACGGGATTATATTTAATTGCAAATAATGTTTTATTTGAGAACAAAAGACATTTTTCATTGTACAAAATGAGACTTGATCAGCCTCCCACTGTTTACAAACTGCGTCATTTTTGCGAGATGACGTCACATTGACAAGTGCATTGCGATCGATGCATCGTTCATATACTGTTGTGTTGGATTTAACAAACGACAAAATTGCATGTAATAGTAAGTTTGTATGTAGTATTCGGCTATATACCTGTTTGAAATAGCAAATGATTTCATTTTGTGGTATTTTGAAGACCTTATATTTTGTGTGACGTCATAGTAAACATTTCCCGTACAAATTAGGCCCTGCCCCCTTACTTTAACCTTAACTGTGCTGCGCAGGTTTGAGGAAATACCTTTACAGAATGGAGGAGGGAGACTATAACTTTTACACCCCCATTCATCACACTCCCCGTTAATGTTACAATCATTCTTACACTCGTCACATGAAATACAACTTCCATTATTGTCCTGGTATGAACAACCTGTTGTATTACCTAAAAATAGTATGTTTACTTTATATTTTCAATTTAATTGTTTACGTAGTACTATTGGAAATAATCAATCAATTAGCTGAAAACAAAATACATCCTTTTTGAGAGCCAAACAGTAATTTTTTCTTAACGATTTACAAATTTTGTATGTATATATTTTTTACAGTAATTTACAATTTTTTTTTTTTGAATTTAAGAAAATTCTTATCGGATATATCCCGATTCCAAATAAAGAATATATCTTTAATAAACATGTGAAACTGGAAACTTTGTCTGACCAAGCTAGAAGTTACAATTTCAACGCATTCTCAAAGGAAATATTGAATTCTACACTTTTTAAAGTTTATATATTTTTTTAAAATCTTATGTAGCGTAACCATTTCTGTGATGAATTTACTCACCCTTTGTATTGCTAATGAAAACAAATGTGTTCATGAACTTTCTATCTTTGAAAATTTTTTAATACATGTACATACATGTACGGATTTTCTCTCTATTTCTGTAAACAAACTTTTATTTGCGTGCAAGAAATATTCACAGATTCCGCAATCTTCTTTTAATCGGAAATTGTTATCACCAGGAAGCAATTATTTACCGGGGTTTCAATCAAAATTAAAAAAATGATGTTGATATATACTAAGTAAATTTAGTCATTACAGAATAAGTAACGCACAATTACGATAAAAATAAAACTAGTAAAATTTATAAATACTTGTTGTTTATGCATAATGTTAGAATACATAAGTGATATGATATTTAAGGACTTTGCTCAAAATCATCTGGCGGGATTGTAAATAAAATACTACTTTTCGCCACTTAGAAAAATATCAATCTTTCTTTGACTCGCCTATAAGTCTGACACCGAGTTTTGCATCAAAATTAAACTCCCCAAAACCGACTTATAGGCGAGTATATAAGATAGCTAGTATTTATAGAAAATATGTTTTCACAGTCATGTTAATTAATCGTCTCGGAATGATTTCAAGCTAACGATTTGCAAATAAAATATTTCCCGAATAATAGTTTGATCGTTTTCAGTAAAGAAAGACCTTCATGTACCGTTGTAAAATGGAAGACATACCGTAAATCTCCAGCTCACAGATCTCAAGAATAGCACCCCCATCAATATTCTTATTTGCGTATATCTTTACATATTGAGCTGTATGAAAACAATTCACTTCAAGCACTGTTTCAAGTGTAACATTTGCGGAATCTTGATAACAGGTGTCATTAACACTCCATTCTGAATTATTGGATACAAGTACTGAAAATCCGCTCAGTCTTTTAGTGTTGTACGCTCCACCTAAACATATCAGCATTAACACACTTAAATTAAATTGATAGTTTGAAAAAGGATGAATAACTGTTCAAATAGAAATAAATCCAATTAAACCTTTTTTATGTTATGATATTCTCATATCTAAAAGATTTACCTCATCATGACTTTTACGACTTTCTGTCAGCTTTTAAACTGATCATATAACTGGATTTATTTCCAGAAGAACAGGAAACGTTATTTATGAACCATCTATTCAATTCATTCTTTGCGTGTATAATTGCATTTCTCTAGTTCGAGTCAATCGATAAAAAAAAAACAACTAACGGTCATTCCTGTACCTAATTCGAAAACTTTTCAAATTGAAGATGATACCAAGATCAATATTTAACCAGGCCCCCGACTCTATCAAATTCATTCTATTTTTGTATAATTGCATTTCTCTACCTCAGGTTAATTGTAAAAAAAAACCCACGGTCATTCCTATACCAAATTCGAACACTTTTCAAATTGAAGACTCTACCGAGGTCAATATTTAACCAGGCCTCTGACTGTCCTGGGGCGGTTTGCATACAGGCAACATAACTCTGACTGAAGTTCCTATCGATGGTTTTGTTTGCATCTCCGGAGTAAGATCCCCATACATACAAAGAGCTGCTTTCAACTTTCGTTTTGTTAGTAATAAGTAACGAAGGCTTATCTTTAGAGAAGAAAATGATATAAGAGTACATTAAACTTCATGCACCTTTGATAGATACAACACACATAATCGAATTCTATTGAATGAAATCTATAATGTGTATCTTTCATCTGTTTGTCATGCAACTTAATTAATGATAATAATAAAATCGTAAATGTTCAATTAGATCGTCATTTAGTAGCATAGTGCTTAGATAATTTGTTGTTTTTTTGGCTAATGTGTAATGTTTAAAATGTGAATCATGACATTCTGTGATATTTTTACCTGAATAAAATGAAATGAAATATGTGGAGATAACAAACATTATTTTTTTAAATCAAAGGTCCATTGAACGTTATGTAAAGTCATGTTTTTTGCAATTAGTTGAGTGTGACGTTGAAAATTTCACCTGCAGAAAACTGAGGCGCAGCCGAAGTCGACAATTGTTTTTGAGGGATAAAAATTTCAAGAATGCACTCAGGTGCATGCAATATTTATAAAATTATACAAAATGTTTCCTACAAATTTATATTTCATTGATTCTTGCACATTTAAATTTTTGCAGTCAACATTTTTTGGAATATAAACCGTCGTCAAGCAATGATTACTGTTGCTACGCTGGAGGGGTATGGTTTAATTATTAAACGGGTACAAATGTAACAGTGATTTTTTCTTTTTTTTAAATTATTCTCAACTAATCAGTTTCCTCTAATTTACATGAAATAATAATATCAAAAAATAGAAACGGGGCAAACACAAACCTTCAAAGCATCAGAATTGGGATAAGGTGCCAACTAGTCAGTATAACAGATATAGCAGATATTCTGTTATCAGAATATATGAGTACAGTATTGATTTTTCCGCATCGAAGTGTAAAATCGAAGTGTAAAATTAGAAATTCCGTCTGTCAACGGCAAAAATGTTTGCTGGAGAAAGACTCATTGACGGCTGTTGTTTTCTTCTTGACAAATTTATCTTGAAACTAAGAGACAAAATTTTCTCTTACATTTAAATAAAGTACATAATTATATTTTATGAAACTGTAATATTTTTTGACATGTTTAATTTTTCAAAGTATAGCTTTAAAAGTAACTTTACCGTGACACGAAGCAAATAATATAACATTCATCCAAATGTAGATTAGTAATGGATAACACAGATGAATTTCCATATTTGATTTCTGGAAAATGCTACAGTCAAAGAAAAGATGAATCACTAAAAACTTTGTAAAATGCTTTATAATACGCTCCTAACAAGTAGATACGTACATATTTTTTTTAATTTCCGTATCTTATCTTGAACTACTAATGCAAAATAGGAGAATTTAGATCCCTTTTTCAGCACCAGCTTTAAATTACAGAAACCTTGTCTTTTCCATTTTGCAAACCTTTGAGAATTTTTCAATTTCTTAAAGTAAACGATATATTGACAATATGCTGCTCGTTTTATCTTTTATCTGAAGCTCAACAGGATATATCATATTGACATAAGAATGGAAATAACCTTTGTTAATTGACAATACGTCGTCGATATATCTAAATGTCTATTTGAAGGCCACAGCAAGTGCGTTTTTCTTTTTAGTAAAAGACCATTTGGACCATTCTGAATGTGTGAATTAAAGAGAATATTGATCTTTTGAAGTTTCTATTTTCACAACCCTGGCACAATGAACATGACTCATAATAACAACTTCTTTTTCTGTCTGCTTATATTCTTTTCCTATTCTATCTACCGGTCATGGTAGCCTAGTGGTAGAGCGTTCGCTTCGTGATCGGGAGGCCCGGGTTCGATTCTCGTTCGCGGCGCCACGTCATACCTAAGACGTAAACAAAGGTGGTGACTGTTCCTTCGCCAAGCGCTAGGCACTAGAAGTGAAAGTCACGGGTCTTTCGGATATGACCTTAAAAACGTAGGTCCCGTGTCACGGTAGGCGCTGGCACGATAAAGAACCCTCACTGCTCAATGGCCCTGAGTGCCGAGTATAGGACTAAATTTGAAGCCCTACACCGGCATACGGTGACGTCTCCATATGAGTGAAAAATTCACAAGAGGCGCGTTAAACAATATACAATCAATCAATCCTATTCTATCTCTTTCTGCTTTCTAACCAAATCTACTCGCGATGATAAAGGGTGTATATTGTCAATATAGGGCAAAATCGGCCTTTTAAGCAAATTTTTTTGAAAAGAATGAAATATGTCAGAAATTAAAATAATATCTACTAACTGCCAGGAGTTGAACGATACGAAAAAAAGATGTTTTTCAGTACTTCCGACAACAGAAGTGTAATATTCTACGCTTGAGTGATACACATTTTACTGATAAAATTGAAACAAAATATAAGAAATGAATGGGGTTATGAAGCTCGTTTTAGCTCATACACTTCAAAATCTAGAGGAATAGCCATTTTATTTAACAATAATTTTGATTTTTTAGTCCATGATCAAATCGTTGATGATTCTGGCAATTTTCTTGCATTGCACTTAATGGTTGAAAATAGGAAAATAAGTTTGATATGCATATATGGACCAAATAAAGATTCTCCAGAATTCTATGAGAATTTGTCAGAGTTAATTACCAAATTTGACAATGAAGTTATTATTGTTGGTGATTTTAATTTAGTATTAGACCCAAACAGAGATTATTTCAATTACTTACATATTGATTACCAAAAAGCCAGAAAGAAATTACTTGAACAAATGGATTGTCATAATTTAATAGATATTTATAGAGAGCTCCACCCAGAAGCATAAAGATTTACTTGGAGGAAACCAAACCTTCTGAAACAAGCACGCTTAGACTTTGCTCTTGTATCCAACTCATTGTTAATTGCTACACCAAATTGCGATATTCTTGGAAGTAATAGATCAGACCATTCACCAATTTTACTGACCCTTAAGTTCAATGATTTTCTACATGGGAAAGGTTTATGGAAATTTAATAATTCTCTTTTAAAAGACCCAAAGTATATTGAAATTATAAATAATGTTATTGATAATGTTAAAACACAATATGCATTGCTGGTTTACAATGAAGCCAGCATTAGGGACATATCCAATTCTGAAATACAATTTACCATAAATGAACAATTTTTTTAGAGGCACTCCTAATGGAGATAAGAGCAAAAACAATTTCATATGCAAGTTATATAAAAAAGGAAAAGGTAAAAAAGGAGAAAGACCTAATTGAGGAAATTACTGAACTGGAAAAAAATTATGACAAAAATTTTACTAGTATTGCTGAGAAGAAAAAAGCATTAGAATCAATAAGGCAACACAAGCTTATGGGGAATATGATAAAGTCAAGGGCAAAATGGACTAGTGAAGGGGAAAAAACAACAAATTATTTTTTCTTATCTTGAAAATAGACATTTTACAAATAAGATAATACTTAAAATTATTAAAAGTTAAAATAATGAGGAAATGGAAATAACAAAACAATCTGAAATTCTAGATGAAGTTGAAAAATTTTACAAATCATTATACTCGGTTCAAATATTAGAGGATGTTGATTTGAATCTTAAAGAATCCCTTGAAGAATAAAATGTCCCTAAATTAGATGAAACTTAACGTTTGCAGATGGAAGGTGTTATTTCATGTAGTGAAGCCTTATCAGTATTAAAGACAACGTCTAATAACAAAAGTCAAGGTAGTGATGGCTTCACAGCAGAATTTTTTAAAAGTATTCTGGAGAAATCTGGATCATTTTGTAGTACGCTCTTTCAATTATGGTTTTGAAATAGGTGAATTTTCTTCTACACGAAAGCAAGGAATAATTACTTGTATACCGAAAGAAGGAAAAAGTAAATTTCATCTCACCAATATCACTGCTTAACATTATTTATAAAATTGGAGAAGGATGTATATCAAACAGATTAAAACAAGTTTTAACCAAAATAGTTAGTTCAGATCAAACAGGTTTTATACCTGGGAGATACATCGGAGAGAATACACGTCTTGTATACGATCTGATGCAATACACAGAATTGCATGATATTCCTGGAACATGATAGATTTTGAGAAAGCCTTCGACTCTGTGTCATGGACTTTTTTTCAAGAGACATTGGAATTTTTTAACTTTGAACCAAGTTTTGTAAGTGGATAAAAATTTTCCAAAGTAATATAGTTTCTTGTGTGTCACAAGCAGGAATTTAATCCCACTTCTTCAAGTTAGGACGGGGCTGTAGACAGGGTGACCCAATTTCTCCTTATAGATTTCTCTTATGTGCTGAGATACTGACCATTAAAATAAGAAATAATGAGAATATCAAAGGAATTAAGATTAATGATACAGAGTATTTAATGTAACAATATGCAGATGACACAATGATAATTCTTGATGGCTCTGAAAAATCACTAAAGGCTGCAATGCTAGTATTAGAGGAATTTTATAAAATGTCAGGTCTCAAAATCAATCAATCAAAAACGCAAATTGTGTGGATTGGAAGTAAGATGTATTTTGAGGATAGACTCTGTCCTGATCTGAAATTTCAATGGACAACAAACTTTAAACTTTTAGGCATTTATGATGATGTTGACGTAGCAAAAATTACAAAAGTGAACTATGACAAGAAACTGGTTAAAATTAAGACCATCATAGAGCAATGGAAAAAGCGAAACTTAACTCCTATTGGAAGAATCACATTGATTAAACCACTACTTATATCATAACTTAATCATTTATTTATTACTTTACCAAACCCACCTGTAAGTGTTGTTAAAGATCTAAACAAATTGATCTTTAACTTTTTATGGAAATCAAATGTAGACAAAATAAAAAGAAAAGTAGTTACACAAAAGTATGCAGAGGAAGGATTAAAAATGGTTAATATTGTGTTCTACATAACAGCTCTAAAATCTACATGGATAAGAAAAATAATCTATAACAATAATTCAAAGTGGAAAAAATTATTGGAAAATAGTGCTGAGATTGATAAGCTTTTAAATACAGGATCAGAATATTTGTCACATTTACAAGAGAATGTGCAAAATAATTTCTGGAAAGATGTTTTGAAACCTTTC